CAGAAGGTTTTTTTTGGACATTTCTATCGCACCACTGAGGGGTGTTCGATGGTCAACTCCCCCTACTTATGGCCCTGGCCCCTTTGGGCTTTTCCTTCGCCTACTCCACCATCAAACCACCAAAGCACCTTCTCTCCGAAGCGCTTCACCCGCCGCCTGGTCGCCCCGCGAGCGACAACGCTTGAGCATTCCGGAGGAGTCGCCGTAGCCACCTGGTCGCCCCGCGCGGGGAGCGCGGAGAAGGTCCAGAGAAGGTCCGGAGAAGCGCAGAACAGCCGCTGCCGCTGCAGCTTTGGTTTCTTTTGGGACGGAAGGTGTGTCAAAGGGAGCCAAGCGACAAGAATTTGTAGAATGGGTCCTGTGGGTGTCTATAGAGTCTATAGAGCCTACCTCTGTACTCCAGTATTCCTTCCTCCCTCACTCGTCCAATGCTCATGCCTCATGCCTGGTACCTGCGATACCTGCACACCTGGACCCCTGAGGGCTGGAGACCAACAATTTTTCGATTGATTGCCATTGAGCCTATTCAATTGGGGACTTTGCAGGCTTTGAACGGGATTTGTAAGGCCTGGAGGACTGGGGAGTCAGTTCTTGAGTTCTGAGGGGTCGACTCAGAGCAACCTAACTTAATGACCAACAACTACTCTCTTATTCTTGGATTGATGGTCCTTGCCATCAGCACGAGGCGTCCCACAAAAAGCCATCGAACTTGCAGTACCCCCCTTTTTGGAACACAGCTATAAAACAACCTGATCAAACCTCCCGCCTGCCTGGACCTTCATGTCGGGGTGCGAAAAAATGGAGATCCCGAAGTAGTAGTAGTAGTAGTAGTAATAGTAGTAGTAGTAGTGGTAGTAGTCGTCGTCGTAGTAGTAGTCTCTTGGAGACCCCCGTTGAATCACGGTGCTGGTGGGGTGGAAAGCCTCCATGCCACCGGACGGCCATCGTACCGTCGGACCGGCCCATGCAGCACCTGCATCAGAGCCATCTGACAGTGGCGAGGGCGGCACCGGGACGGAGGAGGCCTCTTGCACTTGACCTGGGGCGGGTCGTCGGCGTGGTGGATGGAGGTGAAACAACACTGGAGACGGTGATGTGCAGCCATCCACACATGTTGGCCAGAACATGGAGTACTTGGATGGTAGTGGCTTCACAGATGTGTTCCTTTTCTTCGAGCTTGGCAAACAAACCGTTTTTCATCTTTTTTCTTTGTGATTATCGTCAAGGGCATGCAGCCCAATAGACTGAGATCGGCAAAAGACTTGCGGGACTTCAGTAACAAGCTGCAAAAGAGAACATGACGTATACACTGGTCTCACGAGACTGGGGACTTTACGGACAGCTTTCCCAACGAGATGTCTGACCAATATATGTCATTTGAGTGTTGTTTTGATGTGGGTTTTGCATGTGATTTCGACCAAGAGAAATGATTTCGAAATGGGCTGGAAGACATCAGCTGTTCGACCTTGGAGGCAGAAAGTATCAACTGTTTTCCCCTTTCTTCAGTGAGGTGCATGTGCATACAATGGTCCTTCTGGGCTGAACAAAGCAGGTAGAAGTATTGGGATCTTTGAACAGCTAGAATCTGCTAGAATCCAACACATGTTCAGTGGGGAGTTGGCTTCTTGTCCATTCTGAGGATACTGCAACTTAAACTGTAACAATTCTTGAAGCTGTGCTCACCATAAAGCATGTGGCTGGATAGGCAAAACGTCCTACCAGCATAAGCCAAGAATACCAAATAAAGCGCCGAACAGAAACTCCAAAACCATTCAGTTGTCAGGTCAGGAATGAGAATGATTCATAAATTATTCCGGGACAGTCTGACGTCCACCTGTTCAACAATGCAACCTCCAGAGAACCCGTGCTCTCACAAGGTCAAACCTAATGATCAGCAAAAAACGTATTCTGCAGGAAACTCCGATCCTTATATACATCTATAACCCAAGTAGAGAACATCCACTGGCCACGCTTCTTTTCGATGCCGGACCCGTGATCCCGAAGAAGTCGAAAAATCCATGCAAAGATCGCCATGTGTCGCGGGTGACGCCACCATACCAAGTCAGCGGGCCGAGCAAAAAGCCAAAGTCGGTGGGGCCCAAGTTGGTCTTTGCCTGAAGGCTCCCGCATCGCATGGTGGGGTGGGATGCATCGGAGAGCGAGCAAAAATCGGAGAGTGAGAGGACAGGAGATTGGGGCGTGCAACGAACACCAAAACACAAACAAAAACTGAGAAACAACAGAAACTGGCTGATCTGATCGATCTATGATCTTCTTTTTTGTATGTGTTCGTGTGTTTTTCTGTTTGTTGCCTGTCCTGTTCCTTGATGAATTTGACCTTGCGAACCATTTATATATGGAATGGTCTCTACATTCCCCACCAAAGGTACATACGTATAGTTGTTAAACTTGTTCAAGAAAGGATCCTGCTGAGCAACAGTGTCTGAATCCCGATGCCGGCGCTTGTTTTGCGTGCCTTGAAGCTCGTGATGCCGGGGCCCTGGGAATCGTCGAAGCCTTTCAGCGAGCGGTCGGAACGAACCCAGCGATGGCTCGATCTTCGGCAAGGGGGCCGGTAGAATCATATCAAAGTATCAGAAAAATCTCATCTTCTCACAATCTTAGACGTTCCGATGGATGAGGACGAGAAACACTCCCAATCAACCACCGGACATTCTCGAGAAGAAACACATGGCGCGGATCGGCTCCGCTCCGAACGCTCCTCCGCCATGCTCCCCGGCCTCTCACAGGTGGACCGCGGTAGGACTCATCGCCCATGTGGATGTCCTCATCGCTTGCGCCGTCCCGCCCCGGTGGAGTTGGATTCCAACCGTGCGAGTCAGTCGACATGAGTCTCTCAGGATCCTTAGAGCTTACAGGCTCAGCGGAGCCTGTTTTAAATCCAGCTAGCTCACGGGTGCCTGGAAACAGCTTACTGGTGCTGACATGGTGCTTTACATCGTTTAAGAGTTGCAAAACACCCGGTCTACATGGAAGGTGTCCACATGAAGCCCTGCTTGGGTCCAACCTGTGCAGCGAGAGGGGCCGCTCAGGATGGTGTCGTGTCTTTCGGATCTCTAAATCTTAGGGCTCCAGTCATGCCTTCGTGAGGTTCGGTGGGACTGGGGGGGGTGCCAGGGTCGGGTCCAGTCATACCGAACCTGAGGAGGTACGAATAAGTCGCCCAGAAGGGCCCTTAGGGCAACCAATTGATCCCAAAGTCGGTTTCGACCCAGGCTTCTCTGCAAGCCCTCCTTTCAAAACAGGGTCTGCCAAGTCGGATGGCTAGAGCGGTTGTTCGTGAGGTTCTCATTTCAGCCTTGTCAAGGGAAATCGATGCATCCCTCTATAGTTTTCGTACAGTGCTGAAGGATGTGTGGCTTCCACGCCCTGACTGTCAAGAGGCTTCTGCATTTCGCCCGCACCCATTTCCTACAACTTACGGATGGTGATGTGTTATAGTTGAGAAGGCTGGACAAATAAAGCTTCTTCCTTGTCACCTTGCTTCTCCATACTGACACTCCTGGATTAGACATGAGGACTGCCCTGAGGCTCGGCTCTCCCGCTACTGGTCACTGGCACTTGCTGCAGGCATAAACTGCGCTGCAGCAAGTGCCCCGCTGTGACACGTCGTTCTGCACCAAGCATCTTCTTCCTCCTCCTCTTCTTCATCGCTCTCGCCGAAACTCGCCATGGCTTCCAAGAAAAAGAGACAGGCTCAAAACAGCGTATTACTACAGCTCTCTTGCCTGCTCAGCAGGTTCTGCTGTAGTTTTTCAGCTTATCTCGGCCCGAATTCAATGGTTCTGATGGCTCGTACAATATATATACATCTGTTTTCTTTTATTTATGCATGGGACTGCGGACTGTTCAAAAGGGATGGGTTGGGTGGAGCACGCCTAAGAGGATAGCTCTTAATGCCAAGTTGGAAACAGTTCAGTTTCTGCCCATAACAAGCTTGAAACACGAAGCCTGGGAGGCAACAACCTGAAACAGGCAACCATGCAAAGTTCCACGGAGAAGCTATCTCCTGCTAACAGGTCGGTAGGGCTAGTCATCAATGGTTGGCATCGAGTATTCATATGCTGGGCTCTTTGTAGAGCCCTTCTTCAGCTCCTCTGCGGTAGTTTCCTTCTATGACTCCTCTGCAGTAGTTTGCCCCGAAGCAAACTGGAGCCCGATCGCACGCAAACGCGCTGGCGGTTTGCTGGAGGCCTGCTGGTGGAGAGAATAGCGTGGGCGAACAGTCTAGAATAGAAGGTTTGGGAAGGAAAGCAACACATGACGTGCCATAGCTTTGCTTCTTGAAAAAGGCACCGAACACTTCAAATGCTGAACAGTTCAACACAGGCCGTATCAATCATATGATATGATATATACCAGCACCTTCCAACAGGTCTCCTCTGGTGACTTTTGTAGACTTAACAGTGGCAGGTGGTGACCTGTTGGAGGGTGCTGGTAGTATCCATCATGGCGCACAAGGCACATCCGGCGTTCACGTCCCTGCTTCAATCTGATTTCAACGCCCAACGGATCAGAATCGGGGCGGTCGCGACGGCGACGCCGGTCGCTGACCGTGGACCCCTTTGGACTTCCAAATGACTGACTATGGGGTGATATTGGGTGTATCCCACTCCCTGTAACAGTGGATGATGACGATGATGATGATGATGATGCTGATGATGATGGTTAAGGTAGCAGGCCTTTCTCAAAAATTAGCGACATTAATGTTACAGGTCATGGGACACACACTAACTGAACACAATATGCAAACCTGCACTAGCATGACACTTTGTGGAACCAACAGCCTGCAGCAGGGCGATCCTATCAGCCACATAGAAAAAAATTGAGCTCTTTGTTGAAGTCCTTGGGCAACAAAAAGGGTGCATCACCAAACCACCAGTGTACACTTCCTCTTCGCAATCATGGAAGTGGAGTTCATCATCCCACAGGGGCCATGCCATCCACGTTGGATCCTTGATTAATATATCTCAGGGAGTCTACCTAAATGGTACGGACTGCCAATCTGTCGGACACCTGCGGACTGCCAACCGGTCAGCCGGAGGCTCGGTCGAGAGCCGGTCCCGGGTCTGAGGATCACGACCCGATGACACTTCCCGGCGACCAGCGTCTTCACCTCCCCAACGAGCTCGAACGAAGCCACGCGGACGAAGCACGCGGGGTCGAAAGTCCAGGGTCCTCGCAAACGGGCCTGAGCCCTTGGGTCGCCTGGTTGTACACCTGGGGGCGTCCCCTCTATTGATCAACCAACCAATACTAAATGGCCATCTATGGTGGAGGATTCATGACTCAAATTTACAAGACTCCAATATGTCTTGTGTCAGTTGATGTCCGATGATGCCAGCTGGTGTCCAGCCAGTACCCTTCAGGAAATTACACCAACATAGACCCAGATAGCTAGGCAGAATCCCATCACCTGTTGACATGCGACTGGCTGGAACAAGAATGTACGCAGCCTGCACAGCCAGCATACGGCACCTCCACAGCACGTGCAGTCAGCTGACACCAGCGCCGGTGCGGCGCCAGCACCCGACCAGCGCCGCCGCCCGTCTTAAACGCGCGCTCAGCCAGCTCACAGCACCAGCACCCAAGACCACAACACCAGCACCAGCACCGACACCCTTTCGAAAGCGCGCGCAAGAACCCCATAGCTTTCCCTATTTGGGGACTAACAACGTATGATCTTGCGGGTATAAGTTTATGCGCGCAAAAGTATGCGCGCAAACAGCAAAGCCCGTAAGTGTCATTGGCCCAAGGCCAAGCAGTATCCAGCGCCACTATTGACTTTGTAGCATGCTTGAAGCAACGATCTGCAGAACGGTAAGGCCGTATGATCTTGCGCGTGTAAGATTATGCACACAAAAGTATGCGCACAACCGGCAAAGTGAATGGTCGGTTGAAAGCCTGACGCAGCTGTCGACCAAAGCAGAACCTGAAGAGTGTAAATACCTCACAGCGCTAGTAGACAAAGAACGCCCAAGCGACAACAATGTTGCGTGCATAAGTTCATGCGGCCCATGACTGCTGGCACTTCCTTGTCAGAAGCGGCGCTTGGTCGCCCTTCACTGCTGCAAGCGGCGGTTTGTTACCCGGGCACCAGCACCGACACGCCAGCTCACGGCACCCAGCACCCACCACCGGTATACCCAGCACCCGGCACCCAGTCTCCACCACGCGCACAGCCAGCCACAGCACCGGCACCCGCTGTCTCTACCACGCGCACTGCCAGCGCCCAGCACCAGCAACCTGTCTCCACCACGTGCACAGCCAGCTCACAGCACCAGCACCAGCACCGGCACCCGGCACC